GGCCCCAGCCATCCCCGATGGCTCTTGCTGGAGAAGAATGTAGAAGACCACGGGGCAGCTCCAGGAGATGGCTGGGGAGAGAGATGGTGCTGGTTCTCAAACGCAGGCGCGTCACCCTTCAGGTCTGGGGCTGAAGCCCCGTGCCCCGCTTCGTGCGGTGATGGGCTGGGGCGCTGGGGCAGCGCGTTAAACCAACAGCCAAAGGCAAACGCGGTGGGGCCACCACAGCCTTTAGCTCGATTTCCACCCGAAGCATGTAGATGGCATGGGCCATCTATGCAATGGGTTCTTCTGGTTTTCCTTGAGCAAGAGCAAACAGCTGAGACGTTTCACTGGGAGAACAGATGCCACTAATAAGGCAGCAAATAAAATCCATGTGCAATGCTTTATGGTTCGGTTGTAATTAACTCCGCGCTGCCAAAAGAACTGAAGCCAGAGCTCCACATTAATTACACATTAATGTGAACGTTCATCCGCTCTCGGCTGGCAAGCCCTCTGGAGACCGGGGCTTTTATTTCACTTTTGCCTATGCCAAAACCACCGTGGCCCGCTGGGACCCGTGTGGAGCCAGCGCGCTGGGGCGGTTCCCGCTGCTCCTCCTAAAAGCTCAGCTGAAACCCAGCAGGGCTGAGCAGATCCGGGCAAGTTAACATCCATTTGTGACAGCAGGAGGAAGGAGGTAGGAGCACGAAAGGCTCCAGCCACTCGCCGGGAGCTGTGCCGGCACACACGTCCCATGCCCTGGGTCAAATTCAGCCAGATTAAGGTTTGTGGACCAAAATGCTTTTTCCTGGCAGCGCTGCGGAGCCTTTGCCGGGATCAGCCCATTGCTCCGGGTCCCTCTCAGGGGTGACCAGATGAATGTGTTCCATCAGAACATGAGGAAAAACTTCTGTATTTTGAGGGTGCTAGAGCACTGGCACAGGCTGCCCGGAGAGGCTGTGGAGTCTCCTTCTCTGGAGATGTTCAAAACCTGCCCGGACATGATCCTGTCTAACCTTCTCTAGGTGATCCTGCTCGGGCAGATGGACTAGGTGATCTCCACAGGTCTCTTCCAACTCCCATCATTCTGTGATTCTGTGACTCCGGTTCTGTGGGAGCCCCCTCTCCTGCCAGAGCTCGGTCCTCCCAGAAGCCATCGTGGTGCTGCCCAGGCATGGCTGGAGGCTGTCCTGAGCCAGCGAGGAGGAACCTCACTGCAGAGCAGGGAGGTCGCCCCCCTCCTCAGGTTCAAATGACCTGGCGAGGGAGGACACATGCCCTGGTCTGCCAGAGGAAGCGGGTCCCTCCCGCATCTTCCCCCTGCACCCCAAAGGCACCGTTTGGGCCCATTTCTCCAAGGAGTTCCTGTGAAGGATGTCTCCTTCCAAGGGTCTTTCCTGAAGCGATGCCTTTTGTCCGGTGGAGACAGAGCCCAGCACCGGCTGGGAGGAAGGGACTGACGGGGTTACAGCGCTGGTGGATACGGGGAGAGCAACAGACATCACCTACCTGGATGCTGTCCACAACACACTGGAGAGGCACAGATTTGATGGATGGACTATTTGGTAGATAAGAAACTGACTGGATGGTCATACTCAAAGAGTTGCAGTAAACAGCTCAATGTCTAAGTGGAGACTAGGGATGGGTGGCGTTCCTCAGGGGTCAGTACTGGGACTTTGTCAGTGGCATGGATGTTGGAGTGCACCTTCAGCAAGTTTGCCGATGACACCAATTTGTGTGGAGTGGTCGCCATGCTGGAGGGGAGGGATGCCATCCAGGGGGACCTGGACAGGCTGGAGAGGTGGGTCTGTGCCAACCTCACGAAGTTCAACGAGGCCAAGTGCAAGGTTCTGCATCCCCGCAGGGGTGAGCAAACCAGCGCAGAAGAAACCAGGCACGGTCACCCTCAGCATCCCCAGCACTGGTCCTGGAAATAGCAGCTCAGTGGCTTGGCTCCAAGCCTTGTCCCACGCCTCGGGCCAGTGGAGAACGATCAGATCTGGTCACGGCACCTGACTCTACCCACGACCAGGACAAGTTTTGGGGACAGAGGAAGGGTTTTGCACTGGCCGGCACAGCGAACAGGTACTGACGGTGGGTGATCTTTGGCAGACAGACCTGCCGCACCACTACCCGGACATCTGTTACCGATATCCAGCCATGTTTGTGTTCCTTCCCTCCACCGCCATCCATTATATATGTCCAGGATGGGTTAGTGGGGCTCGGTTACACGTGAGA